CCCTTTTTTTTTTTTTTTTTTTTTTTTTACATCAACAGATATAGTTAACTCTACAACATGGTATAATAACTTTGCTTTAAACAGTAAAGTGCCTTCTATAGAAAGCAAGAAAAAAAAGAAATATTTTATATTTACTCATTTACCATTAAAAAAACCACAAAAAAGCCTTTTCATTTCTTTTCTTTTTTCTTTTTTTTTTTTGTGACCGGTAAGGGGATCCCAACCCTTGGCTTGGTGTTGCCCGTACCGCGCTCAGCCAGTGAGCGCACCGGCCATCCCTATATAGGATCCAGACCCGTGGCAGGAGCGCTGCTGCGCTCCCAGCGCCGCACTCTCCTGAGTGAGCCACGGGGTCGGCCCAAAACCCTTTTCATTTTTAACTGTAGATCTGTGGTTTTAACTTGTGTCGTCACCTTTAGCCTGACAGACTTTAGCATTTCTTTCAGTGAAGATGTGTTAGTGACTACCTTTACTTATCTAAAAATGCCTTTATTCCATTTTTATTCTTAAAGGATATTTTTGCTATGTATGGAATTCTGGGTTGACAGATTTTCTCTCCCCTGCCAGTTTATAAGTTTTCATTCCATTGTTGACTCTTTTTCCTGATGAGAAGTCAGCCATCTTTCTTGTCTTTCTCCTGTATGTAATGTTATTTTCCTGAGTGCTAAATTTTTAACAGTTTGACCATGACTTAATGTAGAAGTGGCTTTTTGTATGTTTATCCTGCTTAGGGTTTGCTGAGCTTCTTGAATCTGTAAGTTGATTTTTTTTCCACCAAATTTGGAAAATTTTTGGGTTATTATTTCTTTAGTTCCCCCCCATTCTCTCCTTTTTTGTGTCCAGTTACATGTTTGTCCAATCACTTGATATTGTCCCACAGGCCCCGGGGCTCTCCATTTTCCAGTCTTTTTTTTTTAACTGTTCTTTACATTGGTTAATTTCAGTTTATCTTTCTTTACATTCACTGATTCTTTCTTCTGCTGTCTCCAGTTTGCTGTTAAGGCTATTCATGGAATTTATTTTAGATACTATACTTTCCAGTTCTAGAATGTCCATTTTTAAAATTCCCATTTCTTTGCAAGTATCCCCTCATGTATTCATTCATTAGATCTTTTTCTTTAAGCCTTTGAACACATTTATAATAACTACTTGTTTCTCTGGTAATTCTACCATGTGGGTCATTTGGGGATCTGTTTCTGTTAACTACTTTTTCTCTTCACCAGGGCTCCTTTCTTTCTAGGATTTCAACCCTCAATTTCCAGCCACTCTGGCAGTCCCACATTTCATCTTCTTTTTAAAAATTTTTTTTATTTTTTAAAGATGACCGGTAAGGGGATCTTAACCCTTGACTTGGTGTTGTTAGCACCACGCTCACCCAGTGAACTAACCGGCCATCCCTATATGGGATCCGAACCCGTGGCCTTGGTGTTATCAGTACCACATTTCATCTTCTGACCCCTCAAGCATATAAGACTATGGTTTTCTGCTTGTGTTTTAATCACTGTGTGCTCTTTGGATGAGGCAGTGTTGTTGGGGGACAAACTGTATAAGTGAAGATCTCATCCAGTTTGGTTCCCTTCTTTCAAGGATTGACTTCCCTTTTGATCACTCTATAAAGCCTTCATATAATTGTTTTTTATGTTTTGTTCAGAGTTTATAATTGTTATCTGCAGAGAAGTGGTCTGATATGAGGCATTTCACCATTACTGGAACATCCTAAAGTTTTCATTTTGTTTTTTTCTGAGCCACAGTAAGTTGAAAGTAAGTTGAGTTTTATGAACTTAAGCACATCTGTTATTCTGACACATCACTGTTTGTTATTCACTTTGTTCAGAACAGAGAACTCCACTTTATTGAGGATGTTTATATTCTTCTCATAGGTGATATGAGCATGACAAAACCTATGGTTTTATTTGTGGTGGCTGGCTGGTACGTGGATCCGAACCCCTGACCTTGGTGTTATCAGCACCATGCTCTCCCAAGTGAGTTAACCGGCCAGCCTCAGTTTTATTTTTAATTAAGGAAATTTGGAATTTTTTATTATGACTGTATGAGAGGTGACCACTTCTCCATATTTTATCCTTTTAAAGCCATTGACTTTTGACATTTAATATTTTAATTTTTTCCATTTAGATGAATTTGGTGCTTTGGAAAGTGTGAAAGCTGCTAGTGAACTCTATTCTCCTCTGTCAGGAGAAGTAACTGAAATTAATGAAGCTCTTGCAGAAAATCCAGGACTTGTCAACAAATCTTGTTATGAAGACGGTAAGTTGTTGCTAGAAATTTTTCAAAAGATTGCTGTTGTAGTTTAACAGTTAATCTAGAGTTTAAAGCAAGCTTAGCTGATTTTGACTTTGTTTTCCACTTTGTGGTACTAAATAGAGAAGTTCTGCTTTAAAAAGGAAAACAAAAATTAGCTGAATATATAAGGTTATATTTAAGATCTCTGACATAAAAGTATTGCCTTATTTTGCAGGGTTCTTGGTATCATAGTTATAGATTCTTTGATTATGTTATAAGCACCTGCAAAGTATTTACCACCTTAGATGCATCCACTCATATTGTAATATAGTTGGCAGTAAATTAATACATATTGCACTGATTTTTGGTTTACTCCTATTTTCATCCTTATAATAACTTGGTGAGGTGGATGCTAATAGTAATTTTTTCCATTTGTAGATGAATTGAGATCCCCAAACTTTTATCTGTCAGGGTCACACAGCCAAAAAATGGCAAAGTTAGGATTAGGTTTTTATTACGTTTTGCTTGTCACCTAGCCCTTTTAACTCTCTAGTACTGCTTTCTAATGCCCTTACCCTCAGTAGTTACAGTGCTTTTCCTTTTGTTAAAGAAAGATAGACCTGGCCTTGTGTATTTGGATCCATTATTTAAAGATTTAAATGTCAGTTGTTAATGCTTCTTATAACCTAGGAGTTCTTAATCCATTATGGTAGAATCTATTCTGGATGTAATTTTTTCAATTGTGACATGCAAGTATATTAGTCTAATTCTAAGGCTAACACTCAAAAGTTCCATGAACAAATAATGTATGATTTATGTAAAGAATACTAGATTAATTTTGAAGCACTCAAATTTACTTTACATTTTGGAACATAAGGTTTTTTTGGTTGCAGGTTGGCTGATC